CCGCCACCAACGTTTTTTTTCTTTTTTTTTTTTTTTTTTTTTTTTGCAGAGGTTTTTGCTACAGGGCACATGTGCTCGCCAGAAAGACAGAGAGAGACAGAGAGACAGAAAGTGAGAAATCACCCCCCAGGGGGGATGGCCATGCCACAATCCCTTCTCCATTCTCCTCTTGGGACCTTGGGCATGCACACACACACGCCCGGCGTGAGTTTAAGCCACCAGGTCCGGGACTCGAACTGTGGTTGACTACATGGGAGTCCAGCAACATAGCCATTATGCTAACTGCTGGTCCCATGGGAACACTTCTTTGAGATTCTACTTGAGGAGGCAGAGTTCAGGCAGCCAAGGGCTTTTTCCTACAAGTAGACTTATCCCAAGCAAGTCAAAAATTCTCTTCCTCCTGGAGCTAGTGGCACAAGAATGATCTTTGTCCTTTTAACAGAAAGAAAACATTCTTAAGAATAAAGCCTACCAAAGATAAATCTAGTTCTTGCTAACTATACGATTTATTTATTTTTAAATCCTTTCAGTGATGTTGACTCTGATTTAGGAACCAGGAACAGTACCGTTTAGTCAGTGTAAACAGACACCAATCCATAAACGTCTCAAGTTCAGGTTTAACTTTAGATAGTCAGGTAAGAACAGAATCTGTATAGCAAACTGTTTTTCTGGCCTTCATGTGGGTCTGCCAGGCACATCAATATTTACTTCACAAATATTGACGATATTAGTGGTATCCAACAACATATAATTGGTCAAATGCAAATTATTATTTTGAGTTACTGATAAGGCTACCATACATACACCGATTTGCATGAACCTCCTATGATTCTTGGTATATTCAGTGATTTTTTTTTCTCTGCTCCTTTTTCTTTGGGTTTATTTATGTAAAGCAAGGATTATTAACCTACAGTCCAGAAAGTGTATGCATTTGGATAGGGAAGAAGTTACATCTTTTTTTTTTCAATTGCCAGAGGGAGGGTGCATTCACCAGAAAACGAGAGCGGGAGAGAATAGCCTCCAATGGGATGTGCTCACATCATAAACCCTTCTCCTCCATTCTCCCTCCAGTCAGGATTTGGGGCACACACGTACACACACACCCAACATGGCTTTGAAGCCACTGGAGCTGGGATTCAAACCATGGTCAGCCACGTGGGATCCAGCTCCCTCAACCACTAGGCCAGAGGGTAGGACCCCAAAATGACATCTTTATTTACACCAACTTCTAACTAAATTTAACATTTCATTCCATTCTGGAAATAGCCATAAACCTAAAGTTATATTAACAACACCTGTGATGTTAGTTTCTATCAAAAGAAATCACATTTTCTAGTACATTGCAGTTATTACAGATATGAAATATCATTCACTCTCAAAACTATTTGCAATTAGATCCCCTGCTAGATCCTGTTTTTAATGTATTAATGAGCCTATGAATAATTCAAATCTGGAAAAAAATCTGATCATTGTATTTCAATACCATGTGTTTTTCTTTTTCATCCTTTCTCCTGTATGTATGTAAAAACATCTTTATGAGAAGGGTTCCAGAGGTTTCACCTGTGTGGTTCCTGGTCCCCACACATGTACACTCATGTGCAAGCACACAGGCACACTGTGAGAACTGGTCCAGAGGTTAACACTGACGGTGCGGCAACTGCAAGACTGGAATTAGGAAGTCTCCCCAAGACACACCCACACTTGTTTTAAAAGGGAGAGTTCTGCTTCCTGCTGCCTCTATAGGAAAGTTGCTTTTTGCAGCCTGGGGGCACTGTGCTTGTGGTTTTCTGGTTGCCGTTTGCCCCTGCTATAGGAACAGAGCTCTATCTTAGGTCGTCCGCATCCCCACCCCTGTACCTGTAACAGATTAGGTTCTCGACGCAGTTCGCAGAGCCAGTAGAAATACAAACTGGAAATGCATCCTTACCACAGCCAGCTCACCAGGAGACGGGGGCCTGCTGGGGGATGGTAGGGGCCTGGGAGAAGGCACACATGCACAATGAGGTGGGGCATGAAGTCTATTATTAGGGGAGTTGGGTGCATAAAGTGGGACATTCTCTTTTAAGAGAAATTCCAAATAAACTTCTGGAAGGTTATTTTCTAGGAATCATGCCGGCACTGGGAGAGCAACCCCCTATGCACAGCCCCGCCCGGGCTCACGTGGCCACCTTTTCCTCCCCCGATGCAGGGCTGGCTCCCCAGAATATATAAACCTCTCTGGAGCCTGGCTGGAGCCAGCAGGCCACCCACTGGACACCTCGCCAAGCAACCGTGCTTTCCACGGGAAGCCTCGCCTGGCCTCTGCACTGAGGCTCTCTTGTGCTTGACGCTGCAGCTGCAGCCCAAAATGCCAGCTGTCCAGCTGCTGCTCCTGGCCTGCCTGGTGTGGGACGTGGGGGCCATGACAGCCAAGCTCCGGAAAGCCAACGACCGGAGTGGCCGATGCCAATATACCTTCAGTGTGGCTAGCCCCACGGAGTCCAGTTGCCCTGAGCAGGGCCAGGCCACATCTGCCATCCAGGATCTCCAGAGAGACAGCAGCACCCAGCGCGCAGACCTGGAGGCCACCAAAGCCCGGCTTAGTGCCCTCGAGAACCTCCTCCACCGGCTGACCATGGGGCAGGCTGCAGGGCCCCAGGAGAGCCAGGCAGGGCTGCAGAGGGAGCTGGGTGCCCTACGAGGGGAGCGAGAGCAGCTGGAAACCCAAGCCAGGGAGTTAGAGGCTGCACACAGCAACCTTCTCCGGGATAAGTCAATTCTCGAAGAACAAAAGAGGCAATTGCAGCAAGAAAATGAGGATCTGGCCAGGAGGCTGGAGAGCACCAGCCAGGAGGTGGCAAGGCTGAGAAGGGGCCAGTGTCCCCAGACCCAAGACCCCTCTCGGGATGTGCCACCAGGCTCCAGGGAAGGTAAGAACACAGGTGGAAGACCCTAGGTCCCACATGGTCCATGACAAGCTGTAATAGGTGCCCCATGACTCCCTTCCTGCCCGCTCTGTCTCCCAGTAGACACAGGTGGGTTAGGCACCTTCACCACATTGCTATCCCCAGTGAGTTAGCTCCTGAGAGCTTCGCTTAGGTTGGTGCCTTTCTACAGCGATGTCTCACAGTGCACAGCCATGTGAGGAATATGAGGACCAAGTGAGACATCTCTGTGCAGGATCCATAGAAAGTGACCAACTGCCCTTTCCTTGAATCTTGGCTCAGAGACTGTTATTTCTACCTTTTGATCTTACAATGATCTCTGTTTATGACAAGCTAATGGATTTATGAATTAAGTGGGAAGGTTTTTGTTTGTTTTTGTTTTATAATACTCTTCCTATGCAAGATAAAGAGGTGACGGTACTTTGTCACCTTGTTGTTTGGAAGTTTTCCTACTCTGTCAGATCTGGGAACTGCTGCTTTTAAGTTGGACAACTTATTGAAGTGGCTTTTTCCAACCAAGATGCCCTCTGTTTGCCCTGTCCCCTGCTGGCTTGGAGGTGAGCCCTCTAGTGTGTGTCAAGGAAGGAGCACCCTCTTCTCATTAGCAGGGAACGTGACATTGGTGTCACCTCTTTATGAAAATTGTGCTCCCCCAAATTTGCTGTTTAATAAGTTTCCTAATTGGGAAGAAACAAGTAAGCAAAAACAAGTTGTGGGACAGTTAGTCCAGGCTCTTCCAAGATGTCAGCATTGAGAAAGGAGGAGGAGGAGTGGGGGAGGGCTTGTTCTAGACTGAAAGAGACAGAGACACATGGTCCTCTGGTTGAGTGTGTGATCCTTGACTGACTCTTGCATCTGGGAAAAAAAGCTACAAGGGAGGAGATGTGAATATGGAGTGCTAAGTAGATCATGTTATTGTGGTCATGGGTCATTTCCTAGTGAGATAATGTTTAGTGGTTACAAAGAATATCATGTTTGAAGGAGACACATGCTCAGAGACTTAGAGGTGAGAACCAGGATATCTGCACCTTGCTTTCAAGTGGTTGTGCAAAGACTAAATATACAGAGACTGAGAGAAAGATGGATAAAACAAATGTGGCCAAATATTAATGATCAGTGAATGAATCTAATGAACAGGATGTGGGGGGGTTATCATCTTATTCTTTCCATTTTTTTCTATAGGTTTGAAAATCTTCCCAATGAAATGATGGGAAAATATTTTCTTGAGAAGCCTTCATACTGAAGGCCAGATCTGCATAGGAGTGAGGCTAGAAAACCTGAGTCGATGCCTGGTTATGACGGGCAAGTCATTTAACGACCCGCACCTTTGTTTCTCTCGGCCACAAAGAATTCCCTGCTATACATAATAAATCTCGTGGGATTCAAATGAAGTTAACTATGAGGCGTAAGGGACTTTTTAAATTAAAAATTTTTAGGGTTTTACCATGTGGCATGTGCATTAGCCAGAGACAGACAGAGACAGAGAAAGTGGGAAATCACCTCTCCCCCATTCTCCTCGCATTGGGCACGCATGCACACGTACCCTACTTGAACTGCAGTCCACCGTGTGGGAATCCAGCATCTTAACACCACATCACCTGCTGGCCCCTATAAATAACTATTCTTTTAAGTCTTAGATTGTTCGAATTGGATGAGATTTCATTCTGAATTTGACAACCTAGCATCCTAAGATGCTGAGGGGTCCAAGGCTACATGGATGGGGGACAGGACAGCTGAGCCTGAGCGTGAGTCTGAGAAGACGGATGGAGGGATCTCTACCACCAGAGGTGTTAAGAGCAACTACTTATTTCTGACCACTAACCAAATGAAGTTACAGCCTCAGAAAACCCTGTATGGTGTTGTTATGTGTGTTATATGTGTGGAGTGTGTGGTACATACATGTGAGTTGTATGAGTGTATGTATACATGTGTGATATGTGTATTGCATATGTGTGGGGAATATGTGTGTCATGTGTGCATATTTGTGTGGCATGTGCATGTATGTGATAGTGTGGTGTGTGCATTTGCATGTATGTGCATTGTATGTGTGATATGTATGTGCTGTGTGTGGTATATGTGTATGAGGTGTGTGTGTAGTGTGTGTGGCATGTGCATGTATGTGATAGTGTGGTGTGTGCATTTGCATGTATGTGCATTGTATGTGTGATATGTATGTGCTGTGTGTGGTATATGTGTATGAGGTGTGTGTGTAGTGTGTGTGGCATGTGCATGTATGTGATAGTGTGGTGTGTGCATTTGCATGTATGTGCATTGTATGTGTGATATGTATGTGCTGTGTGTGGTATATGTGTATGAGGTGTGTGTGTAGTGTGTGTGGCATGTGCATATGTCAGTGGTGTGCATGGTGTGTGTATGTATGTGGTAGTATAGCACATGCATTTGCATGTGTTACATGTGTGTTACATGTGTGGTATATATGTGCATGTGCTATGTGTGGTGCATATGTGTGTAGGTATACGGCATGTGTGTGCATAGTATGTGTGATGTGTGCACAGGTGTGTGGTATGTGTGCACAAAAATAGAGGCAGCCTTTGGTCATTTGTTGTGTTACAGTCATTCAACAAGTCTGAATTTATTAGATGCAATCTCTAATTTTATACTGCTTTCTGTCCTTGCCAGCTCTCTACTTCTGAAATAAGGCAACATCCCATCATAGAGAACTGCTAACTTGGACGCTCGTTCCTAATAGTGGGCGCCCCTGTGAGCAGCAAGTTATCCTAGCACGGGAGTGTAGAGTTGAAAACAGACCTAACAAGCATCCAGTGCCACTGGCTCATTTCTGCAGATGTGGAAACTGAGGCCCCAGAATTACTCAAGGAGCCCGTGGCCATCTCGCCGGTTAGTGGCAGAGCCAGGTTAGTGGCAGAGCCAGCGCTAGGCTTCTGGCCTCTTCTCCTGAGGCTCAGTGACCTTCGCAACCCCAGCTGACCTTTATTTATAGAGACCCTACAGATGAAAGACAGGAAGGAACAGAAATGCTTGGAACGTAAGTTCAGCTTTGGAGTTTAGATTTGGGAGTAGGGGCTGTTTGGGGGCTGGGACTTGAGTGTGGACATGCTTTCATGCAGGAGCAGCAAGCACTGGGTGTGGAGCGTTGGGGGAGGGAGCTGCGGAAGGCTGAGGGCATGAAGGAAGGCTGAGAGGAGCTTTTGCTCACGGCCTGTAGTGCAGACCCGCACCACCGCTTTCTTCACTGTGTAATTGTTACATAGCAAAAACCCTCCCTGGGCCCAGCTGACGGTGCGGTGGTGAAGGCGGCTGGATCCCATGTGGCCAACGCATCCCAGACCCAGAGGCTTGAAAAACACAGCAGGCACTTTCTAGTCTATGTAATATAATATTTGGAATAAAACCACACTTTAGGATATCAGTTTAAACAAATAAGCAAAAGAAAAAAACATACCAGGCACATGTACAGGCATGGGTGCCCAAGATCCTGAAAGGAGAATGGAGGAGAAGGAATTGTAGCATGGTCATTCAGTTTAGATTTGGGAGTAGGGGCTGTTTGGGGGCTGGGACTTGAGTGTGGACATGCTTTCATGCAGGAGCAGCAAGCACTGGGTGTGGAGCGTTGGGGGAGGGAGCTGCGGAAGGCTGAGGGCATGAAGGAAGGCTGAGAGGAGCTTTTGCTCACGGCCTGTAGTGCAGACCCGCACCACCGCTTTCTTCACTGTGTAATTGTTACATAGCAAAAACCCTCCCTGGGCCCAGCTGACGGTGCGGTGGTGAAGGCGGCTGGATCCCATGTGGCCAACGCATCCCAGACCCAGAGGCTTGAAAAACACAGCAGGCACTTTCTAGTCTATGTAATATAATATTTGGAATAAAACCACACTTTAGGATATCAGTTTAAACAAATAAGCAAAAGAAAAAAACATACCAGGCACATGTACAGGCATGGGTGCCCAAGATCCTGAAAGGAGAATGGAGGAGAAGGAATTGTAGCATGGTCATTCCCCATGGGGGGTGCTTTCTCTCTCTCTTTCTGCACCCCCCCAATCTCCCAGCAAGCACATGTGCCCTCCAGCAAATTTCTTTAAAAAAAGAGAAAACTTCCTTAGGCTCATGGAAATCACTCCTTCATACATATAGATCATGTGACGGCCAGCATTCCACCACAAAACGATCACGACAAAGTTGTATCAATATTTTTTCCTAATTTGGGTTTACATAAAAGTTTACATATTTATGAGAAGTCTTCAAAAATGTCATGAAAGATGTGTACTCCAAAGAAAACTATGCCTAGATTTTAAAACTTTTTTGAACCAAAATGAACTGATACTCTAATTTCATTTTTCCATGACTTCTGTATATGCATGAACATATATATATGTAAAAAAAAAAAAGTAGAAAAATACAATTTACCACCATTTTTAGAAAAGTGGGGAAAATGATCAAAAGATAAATGAGAAGCAGTTGTTCCTGTCACAAAAGAGCCCACTTTTGCTTCTATTTAGCGCCTGCCTGGTCCTCATGACCCCACAAACTGGAGCGGAGGCTGAGGGCTGTGTGTGGGGCAGAGATTCATGTGGGTCATAATCCCAAGGAAGAGACATGGGGACAGGGACAGTGAGGCAGGGAAGGAAGGAAAAGCAGCAGAGGGCCTTCTTCAGCTGGTCGCTGCAGCTGGCATCAGGGCTTGACCCCACCAAGCCTTTCCAAGGGGCTGTGTCGAAGGTGACAGAAGAGGGGAGCACTCATCCAGAGCTCTGACACCCTGCTGACCCAGGGCTACCCCAGGTGTCCATCACACCCCCGTGGTAATGGACGCAGGGTCGGGCTGTCCTTACTGACGTCCTACTTACAGAGTCAGAGAAGCTGGGGCAGGTGGCACCTGTGAGGGGCATGTTGCCATAATGATGGCTGAAAGAGGTGGGCAGGACTTGGGGGGGCACCGAATTGTTCGACCCCACTCGGCCCCTTTCCTCACCTACAGGAGAGGACAATAATGCCTCCTAGGGTCA